TTCATTAAAGCAAAACAACTTTTTTACAAGTGGCCCATGAAAACCAACTTTTCAGCCACCGCCATATTACATATATTTTGTTTGATTTTTACAATCTTCGTTTTCAATGTGTATTTCCTTGGATGTAACTTTATTTTGGTAAATTTTTCAATAAGCAGATATTTGAAACACGTTTATCATAAAAAATGATCAATCTGAAGAATAACTAATTTTTATTTTCTTCATTAAAAATAATAAGTAATATCAACGTTTTCCCAGGGCGGACTTATTTGTATCCATGTTTTCAAGTACATTTTACATAACATTTAATATGGCATCTACAATTTGGCCATTTTATGAGAACAATTTCAATAATATTGAAAATGAGTTGGATTTTCATATGATTAGTTTATATTTCAATTATTTTGTTACGATGGGATGGTATTTATGAATCCTTTTCTTGATTGATGATTTTTCTAGTGGATTCAGCAAATGGTTTGAAAATGGCTTGAAAAAGGATTTTATTGTTGCCCAATAGCTTTTATTCGACATAAAACCTTTTGCAGTAAATCAATCTTGAACACTAGCGAACACAGGAATCTTGTGAAGGAGGGGCAATTGTTTTTTCTATGGTACATTTAATCTGACAATTTAATCCCATCGACAATGTCGATGATGATCAGTTCGTCAAATGGTTGCAATAGTAGGGCTTCAACCGAAATGATATATTTGCTGCAATGTTGTTGCCTTGGTGGTTGGATTCAGCTGAAGTCACTTCAGATGGTGGTGATAGCACCGACAAACCAATATGAATGACCAATAAGAATCGCATTCTCCTTTCGCATGCACACTGCGTCGACAAGTACAAGGTTCAAACAGTGCGCATAGCAGTGAACAAACAGTATATTGCTCTTGATCAATCCAATCTTGATCAGTGGTGTTGAGTACTTGGCACTGATGAAGTCTGCTAGTAGTAGACGAAATACGCGTATCTGTCAAAAGAAAATAAACCAACACGCTCAAAGCTCTTCATAAAAGTATACATATAGCTGTTTTCATCCTTGCACTTGGCTTGTACTCCAGCATCCATTGAGCTGGTACTGTCAAAATATACTGCCAACACCTGCTCCCAAGAAATTCTTCTTGATTTAAGATTTAATCTGCATCGCTGTCAGAACCTCAGCAAAAGTATTGATGATGGTCGTCGCGTCTGTTTTCAACACCCGTCTCACACCCACGAATGTTTCCGTCGGCCGATCATTATCAATATACCTGATGACAATCGCCAACTGCTCGTGGTGGCCACAATCGCTCGTCTCATCTGCAATGATTACCAATGGTTTTCCTAGCAAAGATTTCGCAATGTTCCGCAACATTACATTGTGCAACGATGTAATCATGTCATTTTTAATAAGGTTACTTGTGTACTGGCAATTTTTGGCACCTTCCGCCAAGTGTTTTTCCAGCACAGGTTCGTAGTTAGTAACCAACTGCACAGCGAATGAGAACGACCCAAATTTGAGTTTAGCTCACTCATAATTGCCAAAAGTGCAGGAACTCAGCGATGAGTAAATTTGCCTCATGATTTCCTGTGGAAATCCTAAAAAATTTGCCGGGAAATGAAAAAATTGACAACAATTTTGGTGAAGTAATGAAATTGGGTTGTTAACGGACTGCTAAATAAAACAGCAAACAGGTTATCTTCCATTTAATTCCACTTAATTAATTTTGGTATCCATGACAGATACGTATTTCGACTACAATGTGCAGTCTTTAGTGGGAATGACACTGATGAAGACTGCACATTGTAGTCGAAATACGTATCTGTCATGGATACCAGAATTAATTAAGTGGAATTAAATGGAAGATAACCTTTTTTGCTGTTTTATTAAAGCATTCCGCTAACTACCCAATTTCATTAATTCACAAATGACTTTAAATTTTCAGAGAAGATTCCTAGTCGAATTATTAGTAACACAACAATAGACTAAAGTTCAATGGCAAACTAATACCCACTTTTGAATTAGGGAATGCAAAAGCTGTCTTTATACTTTGTACAATTGCAAAAAAATCCATCCTCAGAATTCCTTTATGATTTTTCGAAATTTTTAGAACTCTATGAGCTTTTTTGAAATTCTTGTCAGAAGTCCCCTGGAATTATTTTTATAACTCTCCTTGACTTTTACTCAGAACACCTTGGAACTAAAATTCTTTGGAGTTTCAGAAGAATCTCCTCAGTATTATCCAGAATTATTCTCGGAATCAGCTGGAAATTATGGGTACTCTCTTGAAATTTACCTCAAAATCCCTTTGGAATTTCATTGAAAATTTGATTCTCTCGGCATTCTTTTCGAAATTATCTTGGAACTGTCAGGATTCTCAAGAAATTATTGGCAGAATTTTCATCAAATCATTCCCAGAAACATTTTCTTTTGGAACTGTCTTCAGAATTCAATACCCTTTACGTTCTTCTCGGAAATCAAGTTTAATTTGTCTGTCCATTCACCAAAACGTCGTAGTTTTTCTACCAGAAATGTTCAATAAAGCTTGCAATAAATTCGCCAGAACTGTGCAGTTTTTAGATCAGGAATTTTCAATTCAGCTTACCCCTCCATGCAGCAGAATTTTGCAAATCATACACCAGAAATTTTCAATACAAACTTGCCCCCAGAAAATTTTACACCAGAAAATTTGAACTGACCAGAACGATGCAAATTTTCCACCGTTAATGTTCAATTAAAATTGCTTCCAAAATCTTCTGATTGGTGCCGACATCCTTTTTCCATTTTCCACCAGACATTTTCAAATAAAGCTTGCCCCTGTTTTCATATTTTTCATCATAAATTTTCAGTAAAGCAGCTTCCCTCCAATCATCAGAATGGTGCATTTTTTACACCAGAAATTATTATTAAAATTTGTTTCTCTATTTAGCAAATTTAAGACCAAAAATTTTCCGAAAAGCTTGCCCATCCGTTCACCATAACGGTCCAGATTTTCCACCAGAAATTTTAAATTCAGCTTAATTTTAAATAAAGCTTGTGCCTTCATTTGCCAGATTAGTGCAAGTTTTCCACCAACAATTTTCTATTCATTTCATTTATCAAAGCGATGCAAATTTCACACCAGAAATTTTCAATAGAGCATGCTCCTCCATTGTCAGTGAAGTTTATTTCACCATGCACCTTTGTGGTGCAATTTTTAGGCATTGCCTTTTCATGCAGAATTGTGCAAAATTTCCACCATAAATTGTCAATGAAGCTTGCATTCATCAGAACGATGCAAATTATGCACCAGAAAAAATAATAAACCTTGCTTTTACATTCACCACAGTGTTGCAAACTTTCCACCAGAAATTTTTAAACCAGAACCAGAAATATTCAATAAAAAGCTTTTTCTTCGATTTACCACCACGAAGGTGAATTTTTTTAACCTTAAATTTACCCTTTTGTTTTAACGTTCCATGAACAACCTTGAAAAAAAAATTACACCATAAATGTTTTGCATGCACCACAGTGGTGCAATTTTTTGACCAAAAAAATTCATTGAAGTTTGTCCCTTCATGCACCTTTGTGGTGCAATTTTCAGGCACCATCTCAAAGGAATTGACGCAATAAAAGGGTCTCAATTTTACCGTCAAATCAAGTTATCAAGAAATCTAGATATTTTTTATCATAACTTTGAAAATGTGGAAATAAAAATCTTATTTATAAAAGGTGGGGCAATTGCTCCACCTTGCCCCACCCTGTGCACGCCAGTGACTTGAAGAGCTTCGAAAATATACCCTTCAGAATCTTCTCCAGAATGGGCCAACTAGACAGATTCTAGTCTTAATGAGGTTTGGTGCATGCATCATTGGCAAAGTTAGCTTTGACCAGAGTTTTATGAATGTTGTTTTTTAGTAGCTTTGTATTACTTCATAAAACTTAAAATGTTACTTGGGTTGCTTGGGGTATAAAACCTTGTTTTGATATTATTCAGTTATCAAAATATTTTGGAAAATATCAAATGAATACCAAAATAACAAAATGTGATCTTTCAGTGTTTAGACAATAACACCTAAAAGAGTTATTGGATTGGTATTAGAAGACCTTCAAAACAAACTTTGGTATTCTTGCATAAAAAAGCATCTGTTATCCGTTTGTTATTGTAATAACTAAATTATGTATTAGTTCGTTATTCGAAGAACATTTTTTAGGTATTATTTTTGGTATGTTACCTCTTATGTCAGCCTCACTAATACCATATTTCGGTTGCCAGTTATGCTAGTTTCATACCTGAATTTGGTATTAATAAGTTATTTTTTCCTGCTCGGGAGGTGGTTTTCATTTGAAACGCTAGTAACATTTCGGGGTTAACTCGAAATCCATGCGGTCTTCAGCCAAGATGTTTCCAATACTCGAAAGCTTCTACATTTTATGCACGAAAAAAATCGACAAACCACAGCGCCACCTTGAGCCACGAATGTGATAGTGGCTCGTTCCCCATAAATTTGGTGATTTTCACAATACAAACTTCAAGCCGTTTGACGAGGGGTTCCCGAGAACCAAATGACTTCATATTTTAGCAGGCTGTTTCTGACCCCCCAAACTACCATTCCAGGGGGTAGCGTTTGGAATTGGATTATTTCATGTGGTCATAAATACTGTCGAAGGTGAACGAGCACAAAGTTTGATCCAATTCATAGCCATATTCAAACGAAGATGAGACGAAATGCCTATGACGCATTTGAGAAACGGCAATCAAGTTGAAGGCAGAGTAATTCCAAAACATATGCTGTAATTAATCAATATTATATTGCCATTCATTTAATAATCTTACTAATAATATCTGAATAACTGATGCGAAAAAACAAACAAAAATGTATGAGCGTATATTGGACACGGTATAGTAGCTCACTGCTAGCAAAGCCTCACATCATCTGTGAATGATTTAACCTGTAAATATGGTCAACATTGCCAAGATGATCGTACCATCCCAGGGCAGCTTAGGGCTTAGAGATAATACAAAAAAAAAGTACTTACAATTTCCCGCTTCAGGCTCTGGATGTTGTAGTTTGCCTGTGCCAACCGTACGCTCAGCGTGGCCACATCGCTCGTCAGCTGTGCCCGCTCGCCGGAATTCCTATCGACCAGCTTCAGCAGCTTATCCTCCAGATTTTGGTTCACCTTCTGTACCCGCTTGTGCGACTCATACAGCCGCTCGTACTTGTCCTGCCAGGCGATGATGCTGTCCTCTAGCTCGACCTGCCGGTCACTTTCCTGCAGGCAGGCGTTCTCCATGGCCAACAGTTGCGAGTGTTTATCGGCGAGAGCGTTCTTCAGCACCTCAATCTCGGCATGCAGATGCACATCACAATTCTGCGAAACGAAACATTTTGTGTGTTGTAGATGGGATGCTTCAGCGCGATTTTTTTTCGAGGGTTGAAAAGGCGTTTGATAGCACTAGCGCATGTGTGTATGTGTGTGAATGTGTGGGAAGGTGAAAGGGTGTCTATCTTTGACCGGTCAGGGTGCTAATGGGGAGAGCTTTATCCCATTGCGATGTGCTCATGCGGAAGAAGGCTGATGACGACGAATGACTGGCAGTGGGCGCGTAAAATTTGCTTTTCCTCCTTTTTCTCGGTGTTACACGGGTCGGCAAGGAAAATGTTTCACCCATTTTGCGAAGGGAAGACCAGAAGCAAATCACGATCCCCAGTGTAACTCGCTTCACGTGCCTGCAACTTTGAAGAACAGTGAGCGGATTATACCGGGTGGTAGCGAGGTGTGCGGTTTGGGACTTGAGATTAAATGAGCGTAACGAAATAGAAACGACCCACAAACGGTTACGGTCGGTGTGGGAAAAGTCTGGGAAAATTCACAAACATAATGGCCACACGGTATTCGCTGCGGACCGTTGCGAATCCAAAGGGTGGAAACATAAAGCATATCCACGATCGGTAAGGGATAATGACGGATGAAAAGTGAGGGCAGGGATGTATCTGGTCATAACAGTCATGATTTGCATACGAATTTTTCAATGATGTGTTCACATTCAACCCTGAACCCATTTTTTGCAATGTATATCGATAGAAACTGTTGCATAAATCCCACCCTAATTTGCAACAACAACACAGAAGAATCATCGTGGTTTCAATCCGCTCAGAAAAGGCACACCAGAGGGGACCCCACTTTGCATTCATTGCGCTTGGAAAAGCAAAATTATGGCCTATCAAAAGCTATCGAACCCAAGCCACCATCCAATCCGTATTGAAGCAAACATAACTAAGGGAAATGTCACCTTCGGCAATACCTTAACCTATTATCGTCAGGGGGTAAACAACGTCCTTGAGAGCTCAATTTTGACTTGAGGATACATTGTGTTTCAGAGCATCTATTGGCCAAATTTAAGTGCTCCAGGACTTTCTTTATCCCCCCCCCTGACGATAATAGGTTAAGGTATTGCCGAAGCCGACATTTCCCCTAGGTGCCTACAGAGATGAAAGCACAGAAACACCGGTTCAAGAGTGTGCATGAAAGCGCTTTGTAAATAGGTAACCTTGAAATTTCTGCGAAGCAAAGTAACATCAAACGCATTTTTCTCAGTGATGGATGGCTCCGAGAATGTGATCCTCGAACGATTGACGGCGGACGGCTCAAATAGCTAAAACTTCAATGGAATGAGTAAGAAGAGACTCACACAGTGGAAACAAAGATTAGGACATTCTAAAACCGAGCAACGCTTTGAATGAAGGGTCAAAAGACCATCTCGGATGCTTTAATGAGCATCCCATGAAAAAAATATGATTGAATGATTCATGTTCAGAAAAGTTTTCAAAACGTTAAGATCGTAGTTAGGGTAGGTAAAGTTTTAAAAAATATGCTTCAAAGTTATTCATCTTTTTATTTACCAAGCCTATGATTTGGAAGTTTTTCATCTTCCCTGGGGATTAGACTGATGCAAAACTTGAAATTTTTCCTCCACGGTGCTCAAACGGTTCCAAATCGGGTCCTGATAAGCCACCCAAAATGTGAACTCATTTGATAAGAAACTGACTAGGCACAAACCATTTGAAGTTTATTTGGAAATTACTATGGGAAAACTCAAATTTTTGTTCATTAACTTCTAGCCTTTTTCCATATTGCTCTGTTAAAAAGTTCTAGATCTATTCTTCTGGAAAATTTTCTTATCTACAACTTAGCAGATTTTCAGTTTTCAGGCAAACATAAATTTAAATAGTTATTAATTGTTTAAAAGTCTAATAATATTATGGCATGATTAAGCAGGTGTTTTGCGGGCAACACTGTATTCTGCAGTGTGACAGTAGCCATGACTTTTGTATTCTATTCTACAGGCCAGATCACCAATTTTGCCTACGGAACAGTTCGTTAAGCATAATCATAAGACATCAGTTACTTGAATCATTAATAACTTTTGGTGGTGACGTAGGACTAAGTGGTCTTATATAATAAATGTTATTTGTTAACTGCAGCAGGAGCTTGTGTTTTGTGTAGGAATAGGAATTTAAGCGGGGTTCTCTCTGTTTATACTCTTTATGATTGCCCTGAATAGGCTTAAAGCCTTTGGAAGATGATGATGAAGTGTAGGTAGCTTGATCAGCAAATTTGGACCGGACTCGCAAGAATCTCGGCCCGTCTGCTGCTGGACAAGGGTAATGCACTCGAATAATTGAAAATTCGATAAATATTTAAACGAATAGCTAGAAAAATCTTTTCGATTAATCGTCAAACGAAAAATTGGATCCATCCCTAGTAAATAGTGTAATTTCATATTTTTTGGTGGTCCTTTGAAAATGTCGAACAGCAGAGTTGCAACCAGCAAGTGTAACCCAAGAACCAAAAGCGGTGCGATGCAAGCTTTCATTGCAATGACTACGACTAAATTAAGGGGCTTAGAAACAGAGGGATGAAAGTCAATTCTCTTCATCGATTTCCTCATTTGATGACCATGGCTTCACTAACCTATTTCGCACTACTTCTGCCATGCTCTTCTATCATCCAGAACAACAAACGAATCAATTAATGTGTTTGCCGTCGAGTTATCAACGAACCAGAAAGTCTATGAAGAGAATCGATCAAAATCACTTTTCCCCCCTGTTTCCAAGTTTGGTTACAAGATTACAACTTTGGAGAACATTTTGTGTGGTCGTTGGGGGCATGCGGCTCTGAATATGACGATAAGTGTGCAAAATATTACGCAATTGCATCCTACCTATTCGCACGCGCCCGAAGATCGGAGGCGAATGCCACTTCGACTTGTTTCGTCTACTAACGATTCTGATGTACTAACGATTCTGATGAAAGTGCTGGGGCAACAAAAATGCTACATTGGCATGTTTCGTCTAGAAACGATTCTCTGATGACTATGTTGGGGAAGCAGCATATGCAGGTACGTAATTGGTGGATTCGTTAGTTATTTCGACGCTTTTGGACAATGCTTAACATTTACCACTTTTTCAATAGTTTCTTGTTGAAAATCAACGGTCAAAAGCATTGCGATGCGTTGAAATATTTCTTATCGATTGGTGATAAAATAATTGAAATTGGTCCAGGGGTAGCAGAGTTATTAAAGTTCAAAATCTTTCATAATTTCGTTACATGTTCCAATTTCGGTTTTGTCAACCCCCATCCCAGACGTAGTTCTAGGTCAAAATGTTTCTTACTAAATGAGTTCAAATATTGGAAGGCTAATCAGGACCCAATTTGGAACCGTTGGAGCACTGTAGAGCGACAGTTTCAAATTTTGCATCAGTCTACAGGGCATACAGTATGATTTTTCATACTTACCACACATAATACTAATGCAAAAATAGTGCAGGATTTGAAAGCTCTTCATCAACTGTGAAAGTGCTCAAAGAAAACTAAGTTGAGAGAACGAAATAAGCCAAACTAGGTCCCAAATAACAATATTGGTTGCAGATTTAGACTTGTAGAAAACTTTCAAAGTTCGATAAAACTTTCAAGTTTGGGGTTAGTAAAAATGCCAAATAAGGACAAGAACTGTAAAATTTTCTTAAGCCAAAATGTAGATTAGAGATCTTAAAATACATTTACTGCGTATGTCTCTTTAATAAAGAAACTTTTTTTGACGTTGCAACATATTGGGGGTGCATTGAAAAAAAAAAATTGGCTGCGTTACGAAAAGTGGTCAGGCGTTATAACTCTGTCAATAGTGGATGGATTTTAATTCTAAACAAGTCAATCGATTGGAAATTTTTCTATAAATCTACTTAAATGAACATTTTAACAACGATTTTTCATCAGAAACTTGCCAATTCACTATTTTTTCTGTCAAAAGGTCACCCCAAATCGTATGATCGAGAACCTCTTGTCGAATTACATTGATAAATGTTGGAGAATTTCCTCTATTACATATGACAATATGGTTAGACTATATGTAATTCAGAAGGTCCTAACCTGTTTTATTAATATCGGTACTTCCCCACATTATGTGATTAAACACTATTATAAATTTAGTGTTTAATTTTTTTCCAGTAGTAGACACAATTTGCGACCGAAGAAGGAGGGACTCCTGGAAAATAAGCAGCTGTAACACATACCTCCGTTTTTTCCCGTGTCGTTGGAACGTCCATCTTGATCGCAACGATTTCTTTACCAATAAATTCAGTAATTGGGACGAATTTCGTTCTCCTATTTACTAAAATTGGAGGTCATGGTTTAGATTGACTCACGTCATACAAAAGTCTACAGGGTGCGTGACGAATTTTTGCAGTAAATTTCATATAGTAATTTCTTGTGCATCATGATTTAGATATATTTGGCAGCACTGGATAGCTTATACTGTTAGGTGTACGATTTAAACAAACAATGTTGAGTAAACGTAAAGATGTCGAAACAAGAGAGCAATCTGTAAGCCGTTGTCGCTTAGTTGCGCGCCGGAGTATGCATGAAAGAAATAATTCGGTCGGTAAATGTGTCTGAAAGAACAGTGTATAATATTAAAAAAGGCTTGGGAAAGTGATAAGACGGAGCACCTGCTCATACTGCTAATAAAGCACAGAAATGGCTTACGGAAAATATTTCGTAAATTTGGGTGGAAGAAATTTGGCCCCCAAGCAGTCCCAATAGAACCCCTCACACCACACTTAAGTCGCTAAAAGCTAAAATCAAGGCAGTGATGACATCTATGGATCGAAACATTTTAATACGTGCATACTGCAGTTTCCGGAAGCTTCTAACTATAGTCGTCGAAAGGGAAGGCAATTTTTTTGAATAAATTTACTTACAACTTCCATATGTTGCGAAAGAAAATAAATCGCACAAAATTCATTGCTAGAATAACTAACTGGTGTATTTTTCTCAAATATGCCATTTACTGCAAAAATTCGTCACGCACC